TGGCGGGGGCGCGCGGCCGCCGCGGTGCTCCCGCTGGGCCTCGACGTCGTCCCAGAGGTCGAGCGCCGACTTGTACAGGAGCCAGCCCTTCACGTTGGACAGCGCGCGCTCCTCGCTGCCCGGTGAGCCCCTCGGTGAGCCGGAGCCCCGGGGTGAGTCCGACGGGGAGCCGTTGGCCCTCGGAGTGGAGTCGCCGCCCCTGGGGAAGGGAGAGCTGCTGTCAGACACGGCGTTGGTGGGAAGGGGAGGAGGAAGAGGATCCGAGGTACTCACACCAGAAGAGGACGAGAAGAAGAGAAGGAAGAGGAAGACGAAGTACCGTCACCGACCAAAGAAACCGCCACCAGAAGTCACCAGACCAGAACACTACCCAAGAGGCGTTTCCACCATCACCGAGCCACAGAAATTCACAAAGGTGTCCTGCCCGAGGCGGTTCGCCATCGCAACGTGGCGAGCCGCAGATTCTCTCTGTCTCTCTCACACACACGCGGGCCGCACCTGGAAGGCTCGTCGTCCGAGTAGTCGATCTCGGGGGCGGCGGGCGGCTCGTTGCTGAAGCCGCTGTCGTTGGACGAGTGCAGCGAGGCTCCCACGGTGGCGCCCTGTCCGGCGGCGCCCGGCTGCTGCTGGCGGATCACGGCGCCCAGCGGGAGCGGGCCGAGCGGGCCCATCATGGGCGGCCCCCCGCTAGCACTCCGAGTCGGTGTGTGCGGCGCCGGGGCGAGCGGCGGCGGTCCGGACGGAAGCCCGCGGCCCATCAACTGCAAATTACGAGGTTAGTGTTTCAGAAATACTCTTGTGCAGCAAGGCTGTTTCCTCCCTGAGACTGGCTCTGCCGCGCGGCGGCGCAACAACTCTTGCTGTGAGCGAATGAAATGGGGGACACTCATAATATGGAAGCTCGCGGGGAGGGACAGTTGAGCGAGAGTAAGAGTCTTAAGTGGGCGAGCAGGGGGAAACTTTATTGCGAACGGGAGAGAGGGGAAGGGGGAGAGTGGGGAGGGGGTTGCATCTGATGAGATAAAAATGGAAGTTTGCTGTCCTTGGGATTCCGCACCGCGCCTTCTTTTAGCGAGCTGGCCATTACGCGGGTAAAAGCCCCCCGACGAGCCCAACAAGCGCGCAAAAGGAGAGGGTAGGGGAGAGAGTGGAGGGCTCTCATAGACGTGCGAGGCGAGCGCCGAAAAAGAGACAAACAGAGGCGGGGAGCGGGAGCAGGGTGGTGGAGGAGGAGGAGGGGGAGGAGGAGAGGGGTGCGGCCGGCTGAGCCAGCCGGGGCCGGGCGGGGCGGCAGGGCGTCGCGCTGGAGAGGGGCGTTAGGCGCGTGAGGGCGGGACGGGCGGCACCGACGGGACAATCCGGGGCTCTGCGCGGGACAGGGGAGGCCTCTGACTGACGGCTGGCAAACATCCACCCGGACAATGCAGTGGGCGGGCGGGGGCGGGGCGGGGCGAGGATGATAGGTGTAGGGACGCGCCGGAAGAGCGAAAGGGGATAGGGAAGTCCCACTTCCTGCTCATGGTAGCGAGCTGATCTATGAATAGACAAGCACGCCCCAATCACTGTCATGGACGCGGTGCTGGGCGGGGTGGCGAGGGAAGGGCGCGGCGGTGTGAGCTCTCTACTCTACCTGTGGGTGGCCTCTGGGCCCGCGGGGGGACTGCAGCAGCATGGGGGGCGGCGCTACGGG